GGGGGGGGGGGGGGGGGGGGTTGAATAGGGTAATTGCTAATCTAATCCGATTTTAATGCCAAAATAAAACTTACTAATAATATCCTAGCAATATGATGTGTACAATTAATATATGCAGGATATAGAAATAAACAAAGGGCGATATAAACGTGAGACAAAAGATGATATGAAAATATACAAGAGAAAGAGTGCGTCAATGCCAAACTCAAACACAAACAAATGATCACGGGGTTTGTTCGACCCACGACCTACATCTCCGCTCCTCACCCTCGAGGAGAATCTTCACTATATCACAAAAATACTATACAATCGGTTTTCAACGCTCACCGATAAACGTTTACAACTCACACAATTGTCAATACACAATACACTCCTCTAAGTGTCGGCCTAACCCGTGTCATATTCCTCAAGTGTTCGGAATTACTATCTCTCTCTAAGATTTACAACCGACGTCACTTCTCTTGGAATTGACCCCGTCTCTCACCAACCACTTCTCTAAGTATCCTTGTGTATTACAATGTGTTCTCTTAACAATAAAGCTCAAATACAAAGGATTTGTTCTCTAATAAGAATGAGAACGAAATAATAAGCTCACACAATGATACAACCTTACAACCCAAATACTATGTGTGAAATACTTAAGCTCAATGTGGGTGTGTGTGTAATCAATGAGAAATAATAAAACCAAACTCAACTTAATCTAGCAAATATATGTATGAATCAAAATGAAACTAAACTAGATTAAAGAGTTCAAAAAACTTTTCTAAATAGGTGCAAAGAGACGTAGATGAGAATTGAGGTTGAACTCTTCAAAACCGAAATTGAAAGCTTCTTTTCTTTGTGAAAACTTCTTCACATAAACAAAACTAATTTTTTCTCTCTTGAAAACTCAGAAACAAATAGCCCAAAACATGTGTAAAAACGCCTTTTGAAAAACCAAGTGTTGAGGACTATTTATATCAACTCAAAAGAATCAGCAAAAACTAGCCGTTATGCCAAAAATCCCCGATTGGTCGACTGGTGACGTGTCGTCGGTCAACTGATAATATGACCGTTGGAAAATTTGACAAAACAACAAAAATCGATCGACTGATGATATCGCGTCGGTCGACCGAATGATAGCTATCGGTCGACCGAATGATAGCTATTAGTTGACTGATACACGTGTATCGGTCGACCGATGATCCTGAGAAAATAAGTGCTGAAAAACTTTTCTGGTCAGTCGACTGGTGGTCTCAAGTCGATCGACCGAAGTACCATCATCGGTTGACTGATTGGAATCAATCAGTCAACTGATATATGATATATCAGATAATCAATTTTCCAGAAATACTGACTTTCTAAAATCAATTAAAAATATTAAATTAACTCCAAAAATCGTAAAATTTTAGAAAATGTTTATAAACATGAAAACAAACATGTTGGAAAAAGAATTTCTCAAATTGCATTTTCCATTTGTGAACTCATTTATTTTGTAAACTGTTAAACAATACGAAATCGTCAAAACTTGATTTTTGATGAAATCATTCCAAACAAGTTTTGAAACTCTTTTCAATAGATTAATAAGACTTGAGAAAAGATATAAAATAGTGTAAACAGGTCTTTAATCCATAAACACATTATTTTCCAGAGAAAGATGATAAATATGAAACGAATGTGTATATATATATATATTCTACACGTTCTTAAACCCAAACACACCAATTTTAGGGTGAACCCGTCATGTTTTGACCCTTCGTTGAGTCGTGCAAAAAGTTCTATTCATTCGAAACCGTTAAAATTACGGCAAGTGGATGAAGGGTTAAAACACGACGGGCTCACCCCAAAATTGGTGTGTTTAGGTTTAAGAACGTGTAGATCAAGTTCAACGGAGACTTTAAAGCGATAAACCGAAAACGTGTGTGTGTAATTTTTGAGCTTATAAGCATAACACATAAAGTAAACTCCTAAACTACAAACAATATACCCAAGACAAATGATTTTCGTTTGAGCTCGATCTTGGTATCGGGATGAAGCGTGATATTGTCTTTGACTTGAATTGCGACGGCTTCATTCCGATTTCCTTTCAACCTTCTTTGAATATCATCGTGAACGTGCAATTCCATTCAACCTCCAACTGAGGATCTTTGTGTAGAATACCTAACAAGCAAATAAACACTCGACAAATATTGTTAGGAATTGTTTGTTAATCATCAAAACTAGATTAGATAGTAGGCTCATAAACATGAGACCTAACATCATTGTCTTGAGATATTAAGTAGAGATGATGGATGAAAATGGGATGTTTGAGGTATATTGGTTTGTATGGTGGTCCAGGGCCAAAGGCTGCATCTATATTCATATATGAATTTTTCAAGTGCATATACACATTACGTATATGCTGAGAATAAGACTTGGGATATTCTGAAATTTCCCATATGTGGTGCTACAAAAATCAGATTGAAGGTGTTAGAGTAGTCAATGTACTAGAATAGTTTATTTAGTCCTACATTGGAAATCATGCATATAAATTTATCTTTTCTATAACTAAAACCTTAAGCGTTTGAATCAACATCATAGTAGTTTGTTAAGATTTATGATTTCCTCTCGTAGTAATTGGCATATATCCTGATTTTCTTGTAACATGTATAAACTGCTCAATGCTAGGATTCTTTGATATTCAAACATATTTGAGATAAGAAAATGTAATCTGCTGAATTTAATAGAACAAATGGGTTTTCTACTGATTTCAATAGACATAAGGTGTATAGCCAAACCTTGTGATACCCGAGAGTTTTTTTTTGCAGTTTACCCTTCTCTTTGTTTGTATTGTTAATTTCTCTCACAACACCATACTGGTGGTGGGTGTAGGTTATCAAAGGATGGGATCAGGGTATTCTAGGTGGTGATGGGATTCCACCAATGCTTACAGGTATGTACAACTCTTCTATATTTTCTCTGAAATGCCATTATGTTATGCTAAATAATTTAGTTGCTTTAACACTTTGTTTAGGTGGTAAACGCACATTAAAGCTTCCTCCTGAACTTGGATATGGTGTGAGAGGTGCAGGTTGCAGGGGAGGTGAGGTTTCTTGTGTTTAAATTACTGAAGTTGTCAAACTTATGTCCTCTTTTTTTCTTTTTTTTTTCTTTTTTTTATTTGTGTTACCGCCTTTTAACATTTGAGAATTTAAGGCTATGTGCTTCAGAATCATATCGTAACATCTTTATGGATAAGTTTCCAACTCTCACATAGTTTTTGAGTAACTTCGCCTCTCACATACTATGATAAAAATCCCTATTTTCTACTTGTGTTCATTATTATATTTAATCTTTTTCCGAACACGAGCCATGCATTTCCAGCAATCATGACAACTAACAGCCAAATGGTTTTAACTGTTTATGGACTTCATTATATGTGGACTAACCAGATTTAAATTGTGTGATTCTGATATGGGTAACTAAATTGGGGCTCTCTGGAAGTTGAATGAATCTTAACCAGGAACATTTCACATAAAGGGCCCTTTAAAGAAACTTGTATTAATGAGGAAATGACACACATCCCACTACTAATTTTAAATCAAAATGATACATAAAATGCAATGAATGACATCAGTATTTAATGAAAAATAGTTAAAATATAGTGCAATCAGAATACTATATTAGTGTAATTACTGACTTTAAACTGCAAGCATGGGCTCAGGTTGCATCCCATGTTTTTGTATAAAGGGCTCTTAATAGAACTTATTTTTTCTTTCTTAAACATACTCAAATTAATCCAAATATGTAAACTGTCAAATATTGACCTTAACTTTTTAACTCCATCGTACATATCTTCCAAATTAACTGTCCTATGGGTCTAAATCATTATGAATATATATGATTTCTGTTAGTTATACTCATTAAAAGAGTTCCAAAACAATCAATAAAATTCAAGCTGCTTGTATAAACTAAGTTTAATTCTCAAAGGTTGGCTTTGTGTCTTCAGGTTCATGCATCATACCTCCAGATTCAACTCTTTTGTTTGATGTGGAGTTCATTGGCAAGGCATGAGCTGCTTCTGTATATAATCATCATAGTAATTGATGTTATCTGCATTACAAATGTATTAAAGAATACTTTGCATGGCTATACATGTATTGTTTGGATGTACCTAGATAAGGCTTTATGAGAGAAGAGATTTATACTTTGGCCATATTTTTCGTAATCAGGAAGTATTGTTTTATTTTTCTTTGAAATTGCTCTGACACCATTTTTAAGGTCCTTTCTATTGCACATAAGTTCAAAATTTTAGTGAGGGCAGAGGATTACAATTTTTTTACTCTAAAGATAATGATCTTTTTTATGCCCTTTACTTCTAATGAATCAAGCTTAAATTCAGTAGACTAAAGGAGTTCTCAGAAACAACCTCTGAATGTAGTTGTAAATAGGTTGGGTGTCGATGAATTAAAAAGAAATTTCTAATTATTACTGAGCCTTGAATTATGATAAGCTGATTCCTCGGCCCTAAGGTTTTAAATATCGACTATCAGAGATTTATCGGATGGCCAAAATCCATAACGGATAGGGGATATCGGGGGTATACATAATATAATATTCTAAAATGTAATTTAAACATACTTAATGAAATATAAACATACCAAAATGTAAATAATTATGTTCATGATCAATAACCAACGGTAGAAACTCGGGTCAGGTCAGGTTTAAAGTGCATTGAATAAGTCTCGTTGCCCAAAATAAAAACTCAAACCAAAGGCCGATAATTCCGATTTTTGGGCCGACAATATCGGCCGATAACTCACTTTATCGCTACATTATCGACGATAAACATCCAAAAAAGATAACCGATTTAGAATCGAACTTATTATAGCGGAAGGCCCCCAAAACCGATAAATTGCTAATAATATCAGTTTATCGGTCGATATTTAAAACATTGCTTGACCCAAAGGCATTTATTTTTCATTTCATGTTTTTCTTTCGATAGTTCTCTTTGAAAATTTTCTTTCTTAAATTTTTTCTATTAAGATCTTAGATTAGTCTTTTGAAAAAACTGTACAAACTGTTAAATTCAATTCATACATAATAGAAGAGTCAATATAGTGGCCACTTTTAAATTAATCCTATTTTAAATTAATCTTTAAGACATGATCTTTTCGTTCATTTTAAAGGTTAAATTTCATGAAACCCCAAGCCTTTGGGACATTTGCCACGAAACCGAATGAAGTTGGAAGCGTTTTACTAGTAACCAAAAATTCCCTAATTTATCCTTTTTAATATATATTTTTAGTAACTCCTCACAATATTCGGTTTTCTAATAAATTTCTCCCTTCTTCCTGCATCTTTCTTGCTAACCTTAACTAACCTGTCGTCCGTGTAGAAGGAGCAGAACGTCGGGCAGATTTTAGAAGACTCCACTTTCTTCCTAAACCTCTTCGCACCTAGACCCCATTTTCATTGATATTGTTTTACCAGCATCATCACCTTCTCACTTGACCTCAGGCTCCCATTCTCCATCTCAGACATAGTTTTTATTCTTCCTAAGAAGAAGCTGCGAGGTGAGACAAAAGCGAAAGTTGTTAACCAATCTTTCAAATTAAAGATAAGTTTAAGTGAAGTTCAAGTGCCAGCGGTATAGACATTCTTTCTTTTCGTTCGGCAAGCAGGAAGAGTTCAAGTCAAGTGGTCGTGGTTAAAGTCTTTCCTTTCTGGTACGGAACGTCTCATTGGCTTTGAACTCATCAATAGGGTAAGAAATTTAGCTAATGGCTATTTTAGCTCAATAATTGGGATGACTTACTTTTGAAGGTCGTAAGTTATAATGGATTTTAATGGCTTTTGGTTTTTATAATTAAAATGCTATAAAAATTGTATAAGTAAAATAGTCATTTGCTTAGTTAAATCTAAATAATTTAGACGAGCTTATAACATAGGTTTTCAAAAGTCAGGGGACCCAATGACTAACTTGCCAGATTAGTATATTTTGTTGGACCTAAGTACCAATTCGTTATTTTTTATTACTTCGTCGACAGATGATAGAGACACATAATTTTGGCCGGAACGAAATTTTCGATGACTAAATGTTATGATCCATGTGATGCTGATGTGACTTCTCACGTGATAGACATAGTTTGGCTCACTCATTTGACCCCCCACCCCCCAAATTAGGGCTCAAAGGAGTGAAAATCAAATTGAGTGTTATTCTTTCTCCTAGAGTGGAAAAATAGGTGTGGTCCATTTAAATTAGAGACAGATTCTTCAAGCTCAATCTCTCGAGCATGATCAGCTTCAAGCATGAGCATATGAATAAACAAACAAAGATCCACATTTTGCACGAAATTGTAGTGGATGAAATCACTGCGATATGGGGCTCCACGCGAGAATAGTGTTATATCATACAAATAGCTGAGTGTTAGTCCTCAATCAAGAGCTGACACATGTCCTATCTTAATTACCTAATCTGCCATACCATGGGAAGGAAGATTCGAACGGCTTCAGCACTCGACCCTTTCTAAATCAAGGTTGTGCCGACAATCTTCAAGGCTAACTAAAAAGATGGTATTTATCATCCCACACCATTCGAGTCGACCCCCACTCCTTTTCACTTCACAAGGCCGGGCTGACAACCTTCGAGGTCGACTAAAAAGGTGGTACTTATTGGTCCACTTGTAGAATCGAGATGAGAGGCGTCACTTGTCGATCCGCTCAAAGAGATGAGTCTAGAGGCAGTGTATGCTCGGGTTCCTTGCCGATAGTCAATTGACATCACATTAAATGTATGATCAAAGTCATATTTCTCCAGCCCCGAAAATCTTTATGACTCATCGGACCTTGTCAGCGCTACACACATTCTATCACCCTCACATTAAACTTCTAGGTGACTCATCCCTCTCTGTAGTCAATACCTGTAAAGTAGATGACGACTGAGCCGCCTGTTTGACTCGGCCGAATTTACCCACCTACCCTTTCGATCTGCTATAAAAGGAAGCTGTTGTCTACTACTGAGGCTAAGCAATCTCTTGCTAAAAAACACACTATCTTCATACTTCTCCACTCAAGCTATCTACTAACTTGATTGTTGGATGAACCTCTGAGATCCCAACTCCGACATCTCACGTGTTGTTCATGTGAAGGATAGAATTTGTTGCTCATAGACTAACTGTCTAAAGGAGATTAGGGACCCTAACACCCCACATAATCCACATATAATTCATTGTTAGATAGCTGACATCAACAAGTAGGTAGACCAAATCGCTCCTCAGAGGTCTCTACCCCCATCCGCTAGAAGAATATCTGCAAGTTGAGGAATAATCATCCTCGCTTTCACATGGACCGAGAAAAAAGAAAAGTGAGAAAGCAGGAGGGGAGAAATTGGGTTCTTTTTTAATTTGAAAACGCCAAGATTTTGCTTTACTTTTACCACGTCAGCCTAATTGAGCTACATAAGACTCACTGACTTGTCGTGTAAGGTGATCTGGTCAGAAATTTTACCGACCCAATATATACGTGTTTTTGTCAACACGTCCCCTTTCATATACCTTATTATCGGGGGTTTGGTTGAATAATGGGCAAGAATAGGATTAGGAAAAAGATGTTTTTTATGGATTCCTAGCTAATCCATAAAAAATTTTAAGACAAGTTTATGGATTCATGGAATCCTTTTTTTCCCTTTCTATGTTTGTTTCATAACATGAAAAAATAGAATCCAACTTTATAGAAACCCTACAATCTCTATTCTTTAGTTTGATTTGGAATGAGAATTTTTTAGGATAAATGGTGAGAACACCTTAGGTATTCTTACCACTCACTAGAGGACAAAACATTTAAGTAAGAAGATTAAGTAATCTTACCCATTTACCAAAATTCAAAACCGAAAATACTATAGCAACGACTAGTTCCAACCGCTAGTTCCAAGACTCTGGAGGCTATAAATTTGGATTGAGGGCTCATGGTGCCAATGTATCCCTCGTTCTTACCACTTTTTTAATATTCTCTTAGTTTGTAAGTTTCCTCCCCTCCATCAGTATGATATCCACAAATCTATTTTCGTAATAAAACAACTATTTCATATATTGCACCCTAAGCGTGCACGCTGATCAAACAACAATATGACAATCAAAGGGATGCACATATGATCAAATAACAATATGACAAATAAAATTAAGGCTTTCATCCCATGGGTATAATTATTTCCAGGACATATTTAACAAATAATCAATGGAAAGGAAACCATTAATCAACTAATAACAAAACCATAAATTCATAAGAGATTATACATGTAACAAATTATCAAAACCAGCACATTCTACTACCCATGTTCATATCATCAGATCACGCACAAAGAAACAATCATCAAAAAAGGCGAAAAATTTTATACCTTCAACTGCCAAGGGGGTACTTCAGAAATCAAAGCAACAAACCCACCGACAAAAATCAAAGTCAACAACCGAACAACAAGTTTGAGAAGAGATCACCGACAACTAGAGCCGAGCTTCATATTCGAAAAAGAAATCGAAGAACGGTTCGAGAAGAGGCGCGAAGAGGATTGAGAAGAGGCGGGATAAGATTAGCGGAAGAAGTCGAATCCAACAAACCCACCGACCCACCAATAGAAATCGCAGCCAACAACCGAATAACAAGTTCGAGAAGGGATCACCGACAACTATCGCCGAGCATCGTCTTCGAAAATGAAATCGAAGAACGATTCGAGAAGAGGCGCGGAGAAGATTAAGAAGAGGCGGGAGAAGAATAACGGGAGAAGCCAAAAACCAGATCTAGGGTTTGTGAAGAGGCGGAATCCGAAAAATAAAGAGAAAGGTAGAAGAGTATGGTTGTGTTAGCTTTTTGGCCCAAATCCTCCCAAATCAATAGGATTTGGGTTTTCATAAAACCCCCGCACTTTACAAATTTATAGATTTAGAAATTTATAAATTTGTTGTGAGCCAAATTTAGGAATATGATTCATAAAGAATCTTTTATTTACGGTTTTACTCCTATCAGATCCAATTCCTATTTCATAAAAAGAGTGAAACAAACCCTCCTTTCCTAAGGTGCCAATATTGTATCATTGCCGGGTAGGATCCGCTGTGGATACCTAACCCAACACCTAATACCTTCCCACTTATAAACATCCGGTTTTTGGACGCAAAAAAGAGGGGAGGGGGGGGGGGGGGGGGGGGGGAGGGAATTGGAAAAACCATAAAAACCAATAAAAACCCATGAAGATGAACCAAATCCAATTCCTTTATCCTCAAAACCACTACGCCCCAACGTGCCGGTCACTGTTTTCTTCAGGCAAAAACAGTGGCCGGTCGCGCGGTGACCAGATCCCCATCTCCCCCTATCTAAGCCCCCCCCCCCCCCCGCACCGCCCGAATTCAATCTCTCAGTCTCTTCTCAAAAATGCAGTCGGCGACTCGTCCCCTCTTCTCTCTTCTGCGCCTCCCCTAAAAAACGCTAAAACCATCCTTTCCCCAGCCAAATCCAAAACCCTAAAACCCTAGCCGCTAGCTCGAGAGCGGCAACCCCTCCGCCACCGCCAGCCGTCCGGCTCGGCCGTCGCGATCGAGAAGGAAACCCCGGAGAACGAGCGGCCGGAGACCTTCCTCCGGGACTCCGATGGGCCCCACTCGCTCTCCTCCTCCTCCTCCTCCTCTGTTCGAAGTCGATTCGAGAAGATGATCAGGAGCACGCAGGATGAGGTGTGCGCTGCCATTGAGGCGGCTGATGGTGGAGGGAAGTTTAAGGAGGATGTGTGGTCAAGGCCTGGAGGTGGCGGAGGGATCAGTAGGGTTTTGCAGGGTGGCGGGGTTTGGGAGAAGGCGGGGGTGAATGTGTCGGTGGTTTATGGGATGATGCCGCCGGAGGCTTACCGGGCAGCAAAGGGGGAGGTGAAGGATGGGCAGAAAGCAGGGCCGGTTCCGTTCTTTGCTGCCGGAATTAGCTCGGTATGTGGAAATTTTAGTTTTTTCTTTTTTGGGGGAATTTTGGAGCTTTTACTGATTTAAGAGTGTAGCTGGAGATTGTTCAGTGGGTGGCCTATAGGAAGATAGTATTTTTTAGATCAACGATTGAGGATCATTATGCAGTAAATATATATGTGGCTTCCTCTCTTTAATAAGACAAATTATGATATAAATTTTGTAGGTTGTTTACTAAAGAGGAAACATTTTGGTTGGATGATTTTATCGAATTGACCCTAAAAAATAAACTAGGGTCTGCCAGCTTTCGTTATCACAAGTGCTGAATTGCAAATTGGTCAATATCATGTCATTTATAGTTTAATATTCAAGAAGAAAATCACATGATATCACGTGCCATATTTGAAGTTATCTAGCCGCATCCACACAAACAGGGGCAAGTGAACTTCAATGGAAATCATCCTGACAGTTATAAAGAACATAGTAACGTGATTTAGATGCAATGCCATGATTACTAGATACGGGTGTTCCAAAATTATAGCGATGTCTTACTATAATCAACACAACCAAATCCTAGTTGGATTGAAATGGCAGTAGGGCCCTGAACATAGTTCTTGTTCTGACATCCCTTTCCCCAATCATCTTCAGTATATTGCACTAGTTACTTGAAATAATGAGTGGTTTGATGATATCGTTATCCCCTAGGCCTCATGGGGCAACTTTGAATCCGCGGAAGAAGACAGGTAATCTATAGAATAGCATATCATCCCTTTCTGCGAATGAATTGTCCGACATGGGGCATGCACTAGGGAAGTCTTTGGAAAAACATTTCCTACAATTCTACCAAAATTCTAAAATTAACGATAGGCTAGGTTATCCGAACACTTCATCTAGGCTCCCGTGTCAGTGTCCAACACTCCTTGGAATATACACACATTTATTTAGACGTGTACTCAATTATGTAACACATGTTTTAGTTCAAAAAACTCGTGATACACTTATTGAACATATATTGTACACTTCACTGCAAATTTATGCAACTCATTGGATTCAAGACATATTAGTTTTAGCACATATCTACTTCATAAGTAAGATTTTAAATTGTCGTTTGGGTATCTAGTTCAAATATGACAGGTTTTTCAATTTATATTCTACTCGATAAAAGAAAACATAAGAACAATATTAAGGATTTTAGTTCTCATAACATGTGCTTGAAAAACAATATTGATCTTACATGGATTATTAGTTTCAATATGTATGTATATAGCCATGTCCTCGTATCCTAACTTTTACTATTTTGCCTTGTCCCATATTAGCACCTGTGTCCGCATCCGCACCGGTATCCTTGCAACGCAGACCATAGGTTAGATTTTGGGGATGGAACTGTGAAAAAGCTTTGTCGTTAGGCATGGTAGAGCAAGCAATTCCTGACTGGTGATCCTTCTAGGAAGTTTTCACTCACTAAGTTACAAGCTGTAATAGTGTAATTTAGAATAGTATCATGCATATGCTCTTGTAGTTATAGTAAACTAATCAAATGCTGCTAGAACAATTTCAAATGGTTTAGAATCTAATCTTCTAGGACATAATGTGAGTAGAGAAATGCATGTTTGAACTATTGTATATGATTATTGATGTATGCTAATTGTTTTCTAGTACTTTAGACTCACTGTCTGCCTCTTTTGTAGGTATTGCATCCGAAGAATCCCTTTGCACCGACATTGCATTTCAACTATCGCTATTTTGAGACTGACGCACCCAAAGGTTCATAATTATTTACCGCTATTAACATTTTTTCGCCCAAACATTGCATTTCAACTATCACTATTTTGAGACTGACAGACCCAAAGGTTCATAATTATTTACTGCTATTAACATTTTTTCGCATGTTCTTGGTCATTTTGGCATTTTATTTATTTTAGAACATTTTCCTATCTATTTTTGGCTTCTATGGTAAGATGAGTATACTATCGTATGCAACATCTGCTAGATAGTGTGTTGATGGGATCTTGCTAGATGTCTCTAATAGGGGTAAAAACACTGGAAGCATATTGAAGAATAACTAGCATCTGATTTAATATGGGCTATTGGGCTAACATCATAGAATGCGCCGGTGCACGTTGAGTGTCATGTCTGTTGATAACTCTCATACTGATCTAATATAGGCTACTGGGGTAACATCATAGAGTGTGCAGTACACAATGAGTGTCATGTCTGCCAATAACTCTCATACTGTTTACCATCCTCCCATACCGTTGTGTTTAGGGAACATGATCTATGGACAACCATGCTCGTTTGTAAATGATTTATAGACTTGTGCCTGCTTTCATGGAAGAAGCTTATTTCTATCCTTGTCTTTAAAAAAAGACTCAGACCTAATGTTTACCTTTGAACACATAATATAACACATAATATGAACCGTTAGGATCACATCTGATACTGCAATTTTTAACGGTACCTATTCGGAATTTGCAATAATCTGTGAGCAGCATCTGAAATTGGAACCTGCAGAAAGCATGCAGCTTTCCTCTTCATTCCAAATTTAGGCTGTAGTTAGAAAGTAGAATTTCTTATCCAAAAGCGTGAAGGTTAATCTCAGATTTAATATTTGAATATACACAGGGGTTTATTTGTTGGCAAATAGGGAAGAAAACATTTTTTAATCCAAAATTTAAGTTTGAGATATAACTGTTAGTTCCATTGTGCCATATATCATATGCCAGTTAATTTCAATTCGGCAAACCAATATCAAAGTTTCCTATTTATATCGCAGTTGCTTATCATGAGTACCTGAAGGTTTCATGTTCTTGACAATTTGACAATGATTATGTTACCATTTCCGCCTACAGATGCTCCTGGAGCGCCAAGACAGTGGTGGTTTGGTGGTGGCACTGATTTGACTCCTGCCTATATTTTCGAGGATGATGTTAAACACTTCCATAAGGTACATTTTAACAGCTGCAGTTTGCATTATTTATTAGCTTAATGGGCTTTGTTGCCACTGATTAGACAAATAAAAACTGATTGTATTTTATGTACCGGTTCTCCTGTTGTTTTGTTTTGGCTGATACATATTCTTGCACATGCTGGCAGAGGCGGTATTCACTTTGGTTTATACTTGTGAACAAACCATGACTGATGCAACACTTACTTTCCATAATTTTTATTTTCAATATTTATTTATCTCAATGTCACGAGGATAGAAGTTGCTTGATTACTAGTTTGCCCATGTCTTCTGAACTTTCAGTCTGCAAAAAACCATAGCTGCGGGCTGTACAGTACTAAATGTTTGATCATGAATATATATACATATACATACACACGCGCGTGCGTGTCTATAGGAAACAATGGGTATGAGGTGGCAGCTCATTTTGCTAAATGAGTTACCAAGAGATAGCCATGTGATAAAGCGCACGTTGCTAGTCACATCGGAAGGTGTGGACCTCACCTCTATATCTATTGGTAGCTCATTTTGCTAAATGAGCCGCCACTTCATAACCATCATTCCCCTATGTATGTGTGTGTGCGTTAATTGAAAAAAATAAAAACATGTATGTATACGTCTACACACATATTATTCATATATGTGTATGTACATGTGCATGTACATATATTTAGATGTGCGTATGGCATATATAAAATCTTTTGCCTGTAGTACAAGCTTAATATCATCAAGCTTTACTGAGTTGCAACATAATGTTGGTTCTGGCACCAGAGTTTATATATAATCCATTGACGAACATGCTAGGTCATGAGAAAATAAGTGATGCAGCAGAATAGAATGAATATTATGTTTCTATTTTGAATGTAAAATTGATATTACGTATGATTTTTCTTGTAGATACAAAAGCAAGCATGTGACAAGTTTGATCCAAGTTTCTATCCTAGATTCAAAAAGTGGTGTGACGATTATTTCTTCATCAAGGTACAGTACTGATAACCATTCAAAATACTACACTCTAGCTTGTCTTACACTTTAGGATGATGAAACATACTATCCTCCTCAAGTATAACGGCCTTCACAAAAGATACTTATTTTCTTGTTTTTCTATTATTTACCTATTATAAGTAAAGTCATATATTCACTCATTTAGAAAGGAACATTTCTTTCCCCCTTCTTCTGGAGATAGTTCCTGATTTAGAAACACTATATCTTGTTTATTTTGTTTGCTCAACTTTTCACTTATTAGCTGAGCCACTTGCCTTGCATATTGTGAAAGGGATTAGTTAATAACTTAATATATATGTCAGATGCTGACATGGAATTTATGTAAGGAACCATTGTTCATGTTGCTACGTTCTTTGTTATAGTTAAGTAGATTATATATGCTGCTGAGAACAATTTTTCCTTAATATTTTTAATTCTACTTGTCACTTGTGTATGTAGTAATTAACAAATGTTCTCAAAGTGTATAAAGATTATCTGATCCTGGTAGAAACTTTAACCCAAGGGTTCAGGTAATAGGTTTTCAATACTTACCCTAGTTAATATTTGTACGAAGACAAAAGGATTTTCGTTATGCTGGACATGCTTTGCTTGTGCAGTGGAGAAATAATTTGTATTGAGTCAGAAAGTTTTGTCATCCATGTGGCATGTAATAGCTTCCTGATTTTTTCTGCAGCACCGTGGTGAAAGGCGTGGGCTTGGTGGAATATTCTTTGACGACCTCAATGACTATGATCAAGAAATGCTTCTTGCCTTCTCTACTGGTAATAATGCCTTTACAAATTGTTATTGATGCCTCTTATGCCATGTCATGAAATTAAGGGGGGTTGGCAGATGAATCCCTAACAATTCTAAATTTCAATACTAATTTCCGAAAACTTTAAAATTGATGTCAAACGCTCAAAATATTAGGGTTTACTGTATGAGTTCATTGAGTCCACTGTGAAGTTGTATGGTTTAGAGTTAATACAGTCCACAACCCGCCACATGAAATGACAGATTATCTAGACTACTCTCCCATTTCCATTCCCGTTTTATCCACTCTTTTTAAATGAGCGTTGCGCTCTGAACAACTCTCTTCATTGAAGTGAATCTGGAGGTGCATTGAGATTGGGATAGGGAGTGCAGGTAACTGAAAATAAGAAGAGCGGAGAAAACCAGGATACTGGCAAGGGAGGGAAATATTTTAGTGAATGTGTACTGGATTAATGGGAAACATGCATATAAAGGGGACTGGTTAATATTGAAGAAATAGTTTCTCCCACTATGGTCGCCATCTTCTGTACGGTGTAAAAATTAACTCCCGAAAAGGGATTGTTTGTATTAGTAAGAATGACTTATTACAAACTAAGGATCAACAATTACAACAGAAGTGAAGAAAATGCTCTTCTTATTTAACGTGGGTAGCAACGATAGGACGCCTACCTCGAATGCTTGCGTCGAGTTTGCTTTCCTTGGACGATCCAATCGAAGTTGCGGTTGAGCTTCAGTACGTAGTAGAAGCTCGTGTGATTGAGTTCGATTATTCCCGAGCTTAATGAGTATCAAGGCCGAATGCTTAGAGAAGGCTAATATGCAAAAGTTTGCAAAGAACAAGGAGATTGATTTTTTGTATTTTCTTAAAACGGCCTGTCATGTTTCCACATTTGATGCAATAGTCCAAGTTTTAATGCTTGGAGTAACCGAATAAGAATTGAAGCCCTGCATCCTTGGGCAAACTATTATCAGAACATGAAAGTTTGTTACAGACCTGCATGTAAATAATGCTAAAACTCTAAACACATGTCATTATAAATCAACTGCCCAAAAAAATATCTTAATAAGTGAAACTAGCAAGACATCAATATAATGTGTGTATACTATAGAGAGAGTTCAAGGTATCATTTCTTTGAGAAACTGTAGCAAAAATGTTAAGACATAGATTTGTTCTAAATTCAATATCAATATCCTATTAGTGGTTAGAAATTTGAGGACTTAACATGTTAATTTTGGCTAATTATGGATCTCTTTGATCATTTTGCAGAGTGTTCCAAGTCAGTGGTGCCAGCGTACTTACCAATTATAGAACGTAGGAAGGACACACCATTCACAGACCAAAACAAGGACTGGCAACAGCTAAGAAGAGGCCGTTATGTAGAATTCAATCTGGTATTCAAACAATGTAGTCTTTTATATTGTTCCTTGGCGTCTGATGAGTGAACAAAATCGCTTGATATATTTCTTATTTTCAATAATGATTAGGTTTATGATCGGGGCACGACGTTTGGACTGAAGACGGGAGGAAGGATTGAGAGTATTCTGGTTTCACTTCCTCTGACAGCTAGATGGGAATATGATCATGTAAGTTCATAGATTCCACCAGCATATAATTTTCATGTGATTGGATGCACGTTTCATAGAATTTTGTTTCTGCAGCAACCGGAAGAAGGGAGCGAAGAATGGAAACTTTTAGATGCATGCATTAACCCCAAGGAATGGATTTGAGACTGAGGTTAGGAGATTGTATTTTTTGTGGCATTTGGATGTCACGTTTTT